CTTTAATTCTCAAACTCTCTTCAATGAAATCATCTGTAAAGCAAAGATTTGAAACTTATTAACACGGAAGTGCAAATGAAAGACAGGAGTGTAAATGTTACTTCTCCCAGAGGCATTTTTTAAAAAAATTTTAACCTCCATCCAATCTTTAAGCTAAGCAAGATTTAGAAAATTTTCCTAAGGGGTGTTCATCAGACAAAGATGCCTAGATGTTGGACGAGAAGTAGGGAGTTCCCAGAGGCTGAATTAGATCATATGGTGTGTGTGTGTGTGTGTGTGTGTGTGTGGTGGTGGTGCACATTGGTGGGGGGTGGGAATCATTACAGCAGGTTGTGTGTTCAGCCTGATTCCCACCCTGATTGCATCTTCTTTCAGCACCTGCAGCAGGATTGATAATCCATGTTCATTCCTCCCTCCTTCAAGTACTCTAAAAGAGGGAAAAACTTTTACTTGTAAAAGCTTAGTGTACTGCTATGCAATGGCATCCCTCTCTCTCCCCCCCTCCCCCATGAAAACGAAACTATGTATCCCACTGTTGCACCCTGGAAATGCAGGTTGTCCCCAATGCCCCATCTCTGCTCTGCTGGCAGACCACCTAGTCAGCTGCAGTCTCGTCTTTCAGATTTCTCAGGTGCGAGCCAGATGCCACTCTATGGGCTGAGCACCAGAGAACACAGAAACACATATCAAACTCTCCAAAATGCCCGTTTCCCTAGAATTACTGTTGGAGGCGTGGTGAGGACGGAATACACAGTACACTAATAGCACTTTCAAAAATCCTTTCTGATTTTACACTCCTCAGACACTTTAACTTCAAATGTTTTATGCAAACAAGTGGGTGCCAGGCGACGGTATTGAAGCCTGTAATTAGGCATCTTCTTGCAAACCCTGTTTGTATAATCTTACACTGGGGTATGGGAGGAGTTGGAGCCTATTTTCTTGGAGCCATGGGTAAAACTAAGACTGGAATCATTTCATTTTGACAACCTGTTACTTGTGGGTATGTTGGGGGTGGCACGGGGTCCCATGACTAGAAGCAGTGTCCACAGGAGACAAGAACCAGCCTATCAAAGCACAGTGTTCGGAAGAAATCAGTCCTGGAAGAACCATGGCTCCTTCTGGTTCTTTGAAAAATAGGCAAACATTTAGTTTACACCTGAAGAGGAGGCTTTCCTCGTCTGCATTTTACTGTTTCATGTTGGCAAATCTGTTCTTTCAGAGCACATGCTGCTTTCTTTATTGGACACTTAGGGTGGCACATCCCTGTTGATGGGGTACACATGGTGGGAAGGAGAGGCTGAAGAGCCAGAGGGGAAGAAAGGCAGAGGTGTTCCCAGGAAGTTCCTTTGGAGAAACTTTTATGTTAGCCAGCAGGAGCAACAACAACGATAAACCATCCTGCAGGGGACTGACTTAGGTTTCTGTTCTAAAACAGAACTTTTGCCATCAGAGCGTTTTTAGTATTCCGGTCTGCAGCAGGAGTGGCTTGTGGTCAGTCTCAACATTGCTAGAGAAGCACAGAGTTTTCTTAAAAGTCCCAAATTGTTTGTGTTCTTTTTAAACAGAATCAAATATAGAGATATCTCACTTATCCAACCCCACAGGGAACTGGATAAGGCCATTCCACAGAAATGCATTTATTCAGATAATATTTAAGTCTGTGCCATGATTTAATAAAGTTTGTAAAAGTGTTTTTGGTGGGGGTTTTTTTTGTCCTCCCTATTTTATTCTGGTCCTTACAACAAGCCATAAAATAAGGCATGGGAGGCTTTATTATCCCACTTGTAGCCTGCCTTGCCCCCATGACACAGGCAGAATACCTCGTGTTTGCCTTCCATGGCTCTGGGTCTTCTGATCCCAGGTGTAGTTTAGAAGTCTTTTCAATATATCACATATAGGATACCTTGGTAAATCCCATTTTTATTCACTATTAGTGAAGAGAAGAGTTGAAGTAAATTCATTAAGTGTTTTCAGCCAACTTTTTAAGTGCCAAGTTCTATTAGGTACTGTTGAAGTTATTTAGGTTTAATCAAGAACAGAGAGAGAGATATTGGATTTAGAAAACTCTGGGATGCAATTAGTGGGGTGGCTGGAATGCTACTGGCTGTGGCAGAGGCTGGGAGGCAGGTCACTACTAGGAGAGCAAGTTAGGAAGGAAAAACAGAAGTGAGAGTTGGATGGGCAGATCAGGAACCTGAGAGAGGGGGGCAGAGTAGAATGGAGTCTTTATTAAGACAAGCCAGAGCTTCTGGAGTTTTAAAAGGATACTAATAGAATGACAGACATGGTTCCGGATCTCAAAGTTTTTACCATCCTAAGTTGACCCAGAAATTTCTTATTTCCTATGACTATATCATCAAGTTTCATTAGCTTTTGAAAAAAAAATGAAATTATCTTACTGGAATTTTTGGAAGTCTCTTTCTATTTTAAGTATTTTCAATACCCTCATTTGGAAACATGTGAATCCTATTCTATCAAACATTTAAAGTTGAATCTTGTGTTCTCTATTGCCCTTTTGAGAGGTGGAGGGCAGAGACATTTGCTGAAAGGAGAAAAGGCAGTACTATATCAGACTTCAAAAGCAGCATATTCCAGGGAATTCCCTGGTGGTCCAGTGGTTAAGACTCCTCGCTTCCACCGCAAGGGGCTGGGGTTCAATCCCTAGTCGGGGAACTAGGATCCCACAAGCTGTGCAATAACCCTCCCCCACCGCCACAAAAAGCAGCATATTCCTGAGATAAATGTCTAAGCAGAAGGAGAAATAGGCGCATCCTTTGAACACCAAAGAAAGTCTGCCTTCGTCACACTTGGTATATTTCTTCCACATAAAGAAATCCATGTCTGCCATCTCCTGACCCCTCTTCTGTGCTTTTGCCTTCTCCTTTTCCTCCTCCCATGGGCCAGCTACATTCTTGAGCTGACTTAATCAGCTCCAGTGTTGACCGAAAGAGTTCCTACCTTAGTTCAGGACTCCCAGCTCCTTCCAACAGTGACTTCATACTGATGATGGAGCTTTCGGAGACTGAGGTTCTTGTTTTTGAGTCTGAGTCTGTATCAGCACTTTAAACACACCCTCCCAGCTATTATACCCTCTCGGAAACCTACCAGCTGTCCCAGTTCACTCTGGAGCTTCTGTTCTGAGCCTCCTACTGAGGAACTAGTTTCCCAGGTCCTTTCTTCAGATCCTGCCTTTTCCTTCTCCAGACAAAGGAGTTCTTCCCCTGAACCCAAGCCAGGGGCTAGTGCCTGGGTACCCAAGTACTCAGCCCCTGACAACTGTCTGCAAGTTGGTCTGTATTACAGGATCTGAGTGTCACATGTTGCCAGGATTCCCAGCTGTTGGGTCCTACAGGGTGCTGCATTATCATGTTGGGTCCTTGGTGCCAGCCATATGTCTGAAACTTCACTGAAGATCAAAATAATTTTTCCCTCCCCTATTTTAGTCATGATAAAGCACCCCTTTTAGTCCCTGACAGTGGCATACCATCATCTGTCTACTGCCAGCCCTGGACCCTTCTCCTTATAGCTCCTGTCTTACTTGTTTACTTAGAAATCCTGATGGAAAATGGTCTTTATGGGTTATTAAAATCCTCTCTCAAATGTCTTCTTAAAAATACAAAGACTTTCAGGAAAATATAAAATAGGGTTACTTTAGTGTTAACCAACATAAATTATTTTCACTGGAAAATTACAGGCAGCATTGAAGTGTAATAAGAAACCTGGGTTTATGTTTGTGTTGAGGGATGGAAAGAAATCTGAAAAGATGAAAAATTGCAAGTATAGAAGATTGACTTTTCTCAATTTTGCCAACACTGGCATGAGCGAGTTAAATTTCTGCCTAATAAATGTATTAAACCATAAAAATACTTTTCTTGTCAGTTAACTTAGTGCTGGAAATTCTAAAGGGAGACTTTCAAATAAGCACAATTAATCACTCCCAATTCAGCCATTCTGAAACACTTAAAGTATTTCTGAAACAATGGAAGAGTCAGGTAATATCTTCTATGAAAGTTTTTTGATATACATTTCCGTGCCCTAAATTGTAAACTACTTTAGAAGAGAGATAATTTCATGAAGGTTTGCATCTTGAGAACTCTGGAATTGAATAGTACAAGTTCTATGTTGGGAAATGGGAGCTGTTTGTTTCTGGGTTCTAGTCTATACTTTGTCTTTTACTTTTTCTCTGCCTTCTATCCACTTCTGAGCTGAATGCTCATTTTAAAAATCCCCTTAGAGCACCTAGTTCTATGATTAAAACTTGGTAGGTGCTGGATAATGCTTGTTAAAATGAATTGAAGACAACATGACTACATATGGACCCATTTTACCTATAATCCTAGGGCAAGACTGACTTTTTGTTTTTCTGTTGTGTGATGAAAGCCAGTTGGCAGAGAGCTAGCAGCCTTTCATTCCATGGAATCACTTTTATTATTTATTTACTATTTGTAGCACAAACATGTTTCCAGGAACTTAAGCAACTAAAATGTAGTTTTCTACTTAAATTCAATCCCTCTGTTTAGAAACCTTCTATCTATCAGGGAGAGTTTGGCAAAATTCAGAAACTAGTAAGAAAAAAATGACTGCAACTATTCTTGGGATAGAGGAGAACAGAGAGAAGAAGTATTGATTGAATCCCTTCATGCTTAACAGACCCATAACTGTTTCCAGAACCAGTTCAAACTAATTCTGTGTCTTGCACTGTTTTATTTTGGGCTTAACAAACTTTAGGACCACAGAAGGGAAACCTGGTTTGGCAAAACATTTTAGACTATTCTTTTCTCTCCACTCTTATTCTCTCTTTTTCTTAAATAGTTTGGGTCTTGGCAAAACCAAAAAGTGTTTTTTCCTAGTGCTTTTTAGTTTTTTGTGTTTAATTTTTAAGTAAATGTACATTTCAAAGGAAATGTAACCCAGCTGTTTCTTATTCTTTTGCCCTCAACAAAATGGTACTTTGTAAAAGCCATTCAATGTCCAAGAAGCCATGAGCCCCTTTAAAAAAAAAAGTAAGGCTTTCTTTTCTTTGAACCAAGAATGCAAGCTTCGCCAAAAGAGAAGAGCTGGAACCAAGAAAGACTTGGATTTGGTTTAATTTAAACTCAGAATTTATAAGTGAGAGAATGATTGCAGCCTTGGCCTGATGTACGTATTTCCAGGTAACTGAAATTTAACTCTTTTATTTATGAGCCCCGACCACATCCAATAGTGGCACTTCTATATTCCCTTCCCTGGGGACTTAATAGTGTCTATGTGTCTGTGGATGCTGGGGGTGGAGAGGCATGGGAAGGAGGGTGTAGCGGGAGGGGTAGTAATCCTACATATACAGTTGCACTGGGGAAAAAGAAGTAGAACGAACCCTGATGATTATTATTTGGGTTTATTATCTTTATTTTCACAGAAATAAAGATAAAATTTACTTTTAAAGAGTTACAAGTAGTTTACTAAACAAATGTAACTCAATAAAAATGCAAAGAGATATGCTTAATTTACTTATGAGAGAGGAAATTTCCAAATTTTGGAAAGGCTTATTCGCAATACATAAATCTGTATTTTGATTACAAACTTTTATGTTTTTACTAAAGTAGTTTGCTGAAGTTCCTCCACTTGGCAACATTTTGCTGTCCTAATTAGAAGTTATTGAGTAATTGGGAGAAAAAAATTATTTCTTTAAAGACATTTTACAATTCTAACTTTCACTCATGGAGAACAAACTTTCCTCATTTTCCTATTGCTCTAAATTAAATTTTGAGTTAAAAAGAGATGTATAAAATATTCTTGCAGACTTTGCTTTGAAAAAATGTTGTTCACATGATAAACCCAAATTTAGTAAGAATTCTGTTGATGCTGCAGCAAATTTTGCCAGCACTCATAATTTCTTACTGGTATAATATAGGAGCACTCAAAAACATACCACTTTCTACTATAAGACTACTTTGCATCTCGTCTCTAATATTCTTTTAGTATCGTCTGATAATGTCTTATACTTGTTCTTACTTGTAAAACTTTTATTCTAAATGAGGTTCAGCACACATGTACTGAGAGGGCAAAGAAGTACCAGGGCCTCTAAATCATTAGACCTTTTGTGGGAAGTAGGAAAAGGTTCCTGTTCAGGTTAGATGTAGCTGCCAGGCATGGTTTGCAAAGTGGACAGTGCCTATGTGCAAACAGAAAGGAGCTCATTCCTTTTGGTGGCTACAGCCCTCAGCTTTGAGAGGATTTCAGGCTTTGCTTATTACCCCACTGCTGAACTAGCACAACTGCTCAGACCTGAGAACTGCATTCACTGTCTGGGGAGATGAAAGGAATTTGGAGAAAACCCCTGTCTCATGAATAACTTTAAGAAGTTCACTTGTGGGCTTTAAGATTTAAACCCCCATATCAACCTCTCCTGCAAAAACCTCAGGAAAGTCTCTATTGTTCAATAACACTGTTGGTGCTGGGGATTCCTTTCCTCTGGGGAATATAAAGTAGTATTAAAATTTGCATCAAAATGAACTCAAAGTTTCAACTGAGGACAGGAGACATCTGGATCAGAAAGTTAACTAAGCCACTTTCCTGCCTTGGAGTAAATCACTGTCTAGTGATGGGAGACAGACAACCTAAACAAGTAATTTGAATCAACCTGGTAATATTCATATACTCCATATGCAGAGGGTATGCTCTCTCAGAGAGCAGAAGCCAGGTCTAAGCTGTGTCCTGGGCAACCCCTAGCAATGTTGCAGGTGTGTGGTAAATACTTACAGAACTGAATAAAAGAAATATTGCCATTCTAGGTCTATGTACTAATCCATGTTTCTTACCTTCAAAAAGTTTGCTTGAAGTAAATGAATTATCATTTTATTTACTTTCCCTCAGATCCAAAGGAAATGAAATATTTTGAGAAAAAAAGTGACTGGGCAACTCTGAGGCATTTTTGGAAACCACGTGTGTTTCCTTCTTTCCTTATTGCTTCAGAAATAAATACCTGAATGAAATTTTAATTTGATAACATGTGCAGATTTTTCTTAAATTAGAAATAGAAAGCACTATGGAAGCTTTGCATTATGAGAAATTTGGGCTACTTTGGGCATTTATTTTATAGTAATGAGTGTGTGACAGAAGGAAAAGGATAAAAAAGACCTATGACAACATGGACTTATCATCCTTCCAGCCTGGTGCACGAGCTCCCAGAACAGCTTAGTGACAAATGTAGTGAAGGACGGAATCTGTTAGTAAAGGGACTAGGGTCGGTGGGGCCACATGAGGGCGGAGCAGGTTGGTGACAACTGGCTTGAGCAAAAACAGAGGATCTGGAAAATTTAGAGCCCTCGGGCTATCTGGCTAGTTGATATTGTGGAAAAGATGGAAAGGCTAGAAAGGGTCTGCATATAAAAAGTCTTTCTAAAATTTTTCATTATCATTATAGTGCCCATAAGTCTTTAAGACTTTCCTTTCCTCCTTGGGGTTTTAAAATTCCAGTACCCTTGGTTTTCATAACCTTTTCAGCCATTATGAGTTAACAACTTAACCAAGTGTTGCTTTTTACCTGTGACAACAATTCAAAAAGGCAAGTCTGTGTGGAGGCTGGAAGTAGATGTGGCTGGATGGAGAAAGGAGGCTAAGAGGCAACATGGGAGGAAGCCAAAGGAAATCTATGCCTGCTTCACAAATTTATGCAAGAATAGACTTACTCTGCAAAACTGACACCACCCTTGTGATGTGACACTGTGATAATCAAGATTTAAACTCTAATTTTTTTCTGCTTGCTTGGAAAGAAGGAAGAAAATACACATATATTTAGCATCTGCCAAGTATTAGGTGCTTTCATAAATGATTTCTTATGTATTTCTCACAACAATCACATGGAATGCATGTTTATCATTTCCATAGAGAGCAAAGAAGAGCTAGGAGTTAAACCAGGACTTCAAACTCTAAGTCCAATTCTCTTTTCCCTCCTCCAAGGTTTTCTGAGGCTAAAAACAAGCTTGTTCACCTCTGCTTCTACTTCCTTTTTCCCCTTTTGATTATTCTACTACTGGAATTTTGGAAATTCTTAGAGTGAAATTTTCTCAGAACAACTCCCTGAGTTAGGTATTATTGCCCCAATTTTTAAGTGAGGCAGTTGAGGCACAAAGATTTAATAATGGGCCCAACGTTGCACAGCTAGATAACAGTGCAGCCAGGACGCAGTTTCAGGCATGCTGACTCCAAAGCCCATGCTCTGAACCACTGGGGACTCCTCCACATTGATGTCTCTAGGGAGCCACCTCTCAGTGTTGACTGTGACCTCCCTGGCATCCTGGGGACCCACTAGCTGGTTTGTTGTGTGTATTGGCACAGACTTGAGAAAAGTATCTAGTGACCTTCACACTGAGGCTTTCTGCACCTAGATGCACACAGCATGCCTATTGCACATTCCCTTCAGCAAGGTCAAATCAGTGATGGGAAATCTGAAGAATCTTGTCTAGTGTTGAGTTCCTATGACTGCTTTCACCCTTGTCTTGTCCAAGACGGATCCAGAATTTAATGGGAACCAGAGTGATTGGAAACATTTTGCAGAGAAAAGGGAACTATTTCAGACTTCTCATTTTATTATAATGAAAAAACTATCAAGGAAAAACGTCAGGGAGTGAACATTGCCATCTTCTCTCCACCCCCATGGAAAGCAATCCAGCAGCAGGATACAGGGTGTCTCTCATAACTCTACCCCTCACTTGCACATAAATCATTCTCCAATTGCAGATCAGGCATAAATCCTTCCGAAACCACGGTGCTCACTAAATGTTATTGTGTTATTAAGACATAAATACTGTGTCAGCTTGATGAAATGTCTCAGGCCATCGAGTTAGACAAGTCAAGGCAGCTACCTAATGATTTCCAAACATTCGATTATTAAAGTTCAGACAAGAGGTTTGAGAGAAAAGCCATGTTAAGATGGACTCTACCCAGCTGTTTATCACATTTGTTCAGCGACCGATAGCCATAATGACTTCCAAAACTCTAAACTCCATCTCAGAAAAAGGGTCTAGAATGGACAACATAGGTCACCAAGGAGAAGAAGCCCAGAATTTGGGGAGCCTTTTTTGACCTTTGCAATTTTCATTACATGAATCACAGGCTTGCTGCCAGTCTCAGATATCTCTCTTTCTTAAGTCTGTCTCTAGGGCATCTTCTACAAGGTGCAGAGTGAAAAGTACTCATTTTGCCAAAGAGATGCGATCCCAATGAGCTGATTATAGCCCCAACTTACATAAGTACAAAATGGTGCCTTATAGCTGGATAGCTCCTTAGAATTTTGTCCACATCTTCTCCTCTCTCCCTGATACTTCACAGGAAAATTGAAATGATCAAAAAAGAACCTTCCTGACATCTTGCCTCCACAGTACAAATTTATCTGCATCTCCTTTTCCATCCCAGATGTCAGGATGGGAGAACTCTTCTTCCTCCTCCACCTATTCCAGAATCTCATTATTTTTCCCCTTCTCTTTCCTGAGATACTTCACTCTGAAAAAGTTTCTCTCCTGGCTCTATTTGCAGCCTCTTCTTTTTACTGGCCCCTTCCCATTAGCATTTGAACAAGCTCAAGTCATCCACATATTTGACTAAACAATTATACTACTGTCAAACTCTATCCCCATCTACTGCCTTATCTATGTCCTTCTTTCTCTGCTAAGTTTTTTGAAAGAGGCTCTCTCACTGTCTTCTATGATTCACCTCTCATTCAATCCTCACACCACCCCAGTCTGACTTCTGCCCCTAAAAACTCCTCTGGAACTGATCTTGTCAAAGTCACTGTGTAGGTTAGAAGTCTCTGGATGCAGGTAACAGAAAATCCAACGCAAACTGGGTTAAATCACAAGGGAGATTTGAGACTCATGTAATTGGGAAACCAGGAGTAGAACAATGGTCAGTGGCTCCAGGTCTATACTCCCACATGAATTAGCTGGGTGCAAAATGGCTGCAGTAGATCTGGACTTCACATCAACACACAATGATATTCAGAAGAGGAAAAGCCATCTCTTCTTGCATCTCTCTTTTGGAGCACAGAATGATTTCCTAGAAACTCCTAGGAAACATTTTTTGTTATTTCTTAATGTGAATTTTATGTGTTATACTCATTCCTGAAACAAGACTTAAGGCCAGGGGACTACCATGTGAATGCCTTATTTATACGTGC